AAAAAAATATCTGAAAGCTTTTTCTGCCTCAATATTTTTTTTATTCACTGTATATACTATGAATCAGCACAACAATTACACAACAGTAAAAAAAAAAAAAAAAAAAAAAAAACATTAGCTTCTAATGCCTTATTAGATAATCAGAAAAAAGTGATATAAACAGAGGTTTTGATTACTAGTGGTAAATTTTTAGATGCAATTTTAAAATTTCGTGAAATTTGCAAAACAACCCACCATCGCCAATTACTGTAGATTTGTATATCCTATTTATATTGATTTAGCAATTTTTGTATTATGTACTTATAAATGGAAATTTTTTTTTTTTTTTTTTTTTTTTTTTGTTGTTGTTGTTGTTCAGCTTCCAATAGTTTTTTCAACGTTTTTATCGTAGGTGAATAGGATTCCCAATAAATAATTCCTAAACAATTCTCTATCCGCTAAATGATTTCTGCTGGTCAAGAAGAAAATTGCTATGTGAAATAATATCGGGGTTTAATAATAGTTTGCTTGTAATAATTTCTAGCATCTTCTATATGGTGCAAATAGTATAAATATATTTCAGTTATAAAAACCACAAAGCATACTTATGCATGCGAACGCCGCAAGTTTTTAAGTTTATTCAAAGATTTCTGGACCTATCAGCGGCCGAGCGATTAGCCGCCGAACACTGGTAGTTCGACCCGAGTTCAATTCCAGACGAACGGCCTGGCCGCATAGGCATTTTTGTAAATTTTTCCCATGTGTAACATGAATACGAGCCAGTTTCCCTGTTCTCCGCGGAGACTTCCCTCCCATTAGGCAGACAGTTATCATGTGCTTTGCCATAATCAGATAAATCTTTTGTTTGGCATTATAGCTCTGTAGTTTTCTTTCCCTTCGTGACACTTTTTCAAACTTGTATAATAAATTTAGTGACAAGTTTCATTATTTTCGGGAAAATTCCGATCTATTCCATTCCTCCTTTCAGTTACAAACCAGCTGAAGAAACTCAGATAGCCTCTGTCGACTATCACGCATACTTCTTTCTGCTGCTAGCCGTTAGCAGGCTTGCCTGAATGTTTATCGGTATACTGCAATGTGAGCTAAACTTTCAGTTCACGCTGGGTAGTGTTTTTCATTTGATCCCCAGGCTTACAAGTGCTGTAATGTTCGAGCGAGTGAAAATAAACAAAAAGAAATACAAATCAACATGACAATGAAAATGAAACTTCACGTCTTAAGACACTGGACAAAGAAAACAGTTTTTATGAAATCTATATGGATTTAGGTGTGGACGAAATATTGAGTTATGAATAACCCATCCCTTCTTTCGTAAAATCGACATTTTCAATAACTTGTCACCCTATCAGTTTACATTAGGTAGAGTTTCGCAAACTCTACCTACTGTATATATTTCTACACAAGTAGAATCACATATTTTTTTCAAACAAATTGGGAGCTTAAATTTGGAGGACTTCCTTTGTCGATAGTGGAATAAAAAGCAATGAGGCATAGATCGCCATCATCGTGAACCTTACTTACGTACCCATGGACTAAGTCTTTTTGACAATAAAATGCCTTTGATGGTATATTAGAAACAACTGCGAAAATATGCCAAACACAAACTACAAGCGCAAGGTAAACACGAGTATGGTGATAATCCAAGGGCCATTTAAATAACGGAGGTAGCAATATTTGAAGTCGGTTTGTTTGATGATGGCAAAGAACTCGAGGGTTATCTGCCTAAGGAAAGGAAGGACCTTTGTGGAGGCCTTTCTAAAAGAAACTGACTCGTTTCTACGTAACACATGGGGGGAGCTACGAAAACGCTCATGCAGTCAGCCCGTTCACCTGGAATCGAACCCTAGCCATACTACCAGTGTTTAGTGGACTTTTCCGCTTGGCCACTGGTGCGCAGTAAACATAAGGATATGTCTTACGTTTAGAAAAAATTTTCCTCGCTTGAAATATCGTATTTGCTTATGTATTTTTACTCAGACAATTATTTGGCCCTTGCTATATTTTAATGGAAAATACCAAATATTTATTTACATAAAATATATTTTATTAATTTGAATATTATTCAGGAGTGCAGATTCAGGTAGCCAACCTATTACAGTTTCAATATTCACTTTAAATATGCAGAACTGAATACCAATTTGTAGAATAAAAACACCCATATTGGCTATCTCGGTGAAAACTATCTATACCTGGAACTGTCGGGTCCTGCCGATCCATAAATAAAACTAATTTCTGTGAATATATTTATCAGATAAATTTTCCATAGTTTGATTGGTTGACTAACTATTGTAAAAGTCTCGAAAGTTACTTATAACACAAAAGTAGAAAATTGCTTTCATGGAGAACTTCCTAAGAGATACAAACTGGTATTTACGCTTGTCACGTATGATTAAAGCGCGAAAATTTTTCACCGAGAATAAATTCAACAAAGAAAGTGTTCCGACCTTAAACTTTAAAATTTTTCTGAAAAAAAAAAAAAAAAAAAAAAAAAAATCTACTCATTTAGAAAGACATAATAAAAGAATTAGCTGTTAATATTATAGGTAAAGAGTTAAAATATTATTTAAAAAATAACGAGATTTGGCAATACAGAGCTATTTGGCAACATCGAAAAATTAAGTTTTGAAAACTTCTAAAATCGCTACTAGGATCGAATTTTGCAATAAAACTATAAAATAATGAAGGAAGAGAGATATACAAGGTGAAAAGATGTATTTCAGTTGTCAAGATATAGTAATTTAATATGAAAAGTTAAACAGATCTGAGGAAAATCTGTTCTTTGAAAAATTTCAGACGTTTTATAAATCATTTTGCTGCGAAAAGTTCTCCATACTATTGCGATTTTAGGGCTATATAGACAGCACACACTTTACATGCTAATCAATCAAGTTTTGCACCCCTCCTGCAACCTAATTAGGGCGACAACTCGTGATCATGGTCTGTATTATTAGGTGGGAAGGCAGGACATTGCCATGCACATAACTTTTTTACACCGACTGCTGATTAAATGTGTAGCACATATGAGGCGCAGTAACTAATGATTGCAGCAGTATGTATTTTACACCAGCTGCAGTTATGAAAATAAATCGAATTATAAGTTTCAGAAAGGCAAGACTAGCTACAGCTGAGCAATAAAACCGCTGATCAAATATAGTTCGAAGTGGGTTCACGTCTCAGTGAATGAATTGCCTAAAAAAAACTTTTCGTAGTTTTCTTCATAAGTAACATGTATGCAAGTCATTTAATTTGAAATATATTTTTTTTAAGTAAATTTTTTCTACTATCTTTGAGCTCTTTCCTTCAGTAATAAAAATAATGTCAATTTTTTATCTGCCTAAATTTAATTTGGGCACATTGCAAGCCACAGTTTTGTTTCGTCTTCTGTTAAGCAATAATTTTATCATTTTTTTTCCCGTATAATCCCATAATATATGATTAAGAATTTGGTTTCCTTTTTTCAGATTTACCTATTTGACGAAATACCCGTAAATTCCTTATCCCTGTGTTATCTAATTCATTTTCAAAATTGATGAGGCGAGGAATTTTGTATTAATTTCATTCGTAACTTCTCTTGAATTTTTAAATTTCAGAAATCAGATTTCTCAATTAAATCGCTCTTCGATTTAATTTCAAATACCAGATCGCATAATTTGAAACAATATCCAAACCTCATTGAACGCATATATACCTTCAAATAAAGACACGGCTTAGAATTAAAGTTCTAATCAACGTCCCCTTAATTTTTAGACTTTAAGAATAAACTTCACTGATGGTTAAAAAAATTTCACTTGCACCTTAACCCCTCCCTCCTCCGAAAAAAAGAAAAAGTCTTTACAAAATATTGACAGTACTGAGAGTTTAATGTCAAGTAGATGTACATCATGCAATAAATAAAGCATAAAATTTTGATAATTTAGACTTCATTTGATTAAGACCCTATGATTTGATTATAAAGACTTTGATTCAAAGGACAGAGCGCAATGAGAGCGAAATTTATGCGAATATTTTCTTCACAAAAACCGGACGAAAAGAATTCTTAAAGCTCGGTAAATTTCTACAGAAAATTTGCCTTTGGTAACCAAGAACAGTTTATTTTATTTCATTTACAGGAATTTAACTGTTAACACTAATTTAATAGCTTTTTTTTTTTTTTTTAAGGCGAGGATTTCATTGCATTTTTTCTCAAATCGGTTTATGTAAGTAAATCAGTTTATGTAAGTACAAGTAACAATTTCACCGAAAGACTAAGGAAGCGTTTTCGGTAAAAATTGAAATTATTAAAAATAAAGCAATTCACAAAATAGCTACAACAGTCCTCATTTAGGAGTAAATAACGTTATAAAATTGACTGCTAAATCAGTATTTAATGGAAATGAAAATTTACAAATTATAGTTGGCAATCCATCGTTTTTAAGGCTTTCATGAAATTTTAAACTTTCGTTGAAAAGTAATATATATTGAGAGAACCTGAGAGCTCAAGGTGGGAAGACACTTCTTGTAAGGTGAATTACCCTGTGATTTTAGCCTCCTGATTGGACCCAATTGATTAACAATTTCCTTTTTAAGGTACAGCTGTCCTTTAGCATATTACAGGAAGTAAAATTCGTATATTTCTCATGTTGATCAAATCATTAGGTAAAATTTTTAAAAAATACTGCTGAAATGATACTAAGATCTCGCTAATAACTATTATTACGTCCATGTTTTATTTAAGCCCATAAATACTTTTTATGGTTTATTAATATCAGTTTTGTTCTTTTATTGATGATAGGCTTTCCATTACTATTCCACTGCCCATCAAATAGAAGCCTGTTCCTCGAAATGTGTTTTGAATCTCTGAAATTTTAATGAGAAATATAATTTAGCATCTGTTAGAAAAACGAGGTGAAAACTGTTTGGTAGGTGAACGTATCGGAAGCATCATTTGAAACAGCTATACTTACTTTTACCTCTTCCTATATAATAGAGATTTGTGTTGAAACATTGAAAATTTTACTTACATTTGTCATTTTTGTAAAGCACTGGTGATGACGATTCCTTTTTAGTAACAGCATTTTCTGAGGAAGCAGGTGTGTTCTGTTTGCCTTTTGACATTGATTGTGATGACAAATCTGCTGCTGATCCTTTCTCAGTTGATGTACAGGCCTGATGAATGCTATCCATGCTAGATGTTCGAGACAGTGACCTTCTCTTTTCTTCACTATTTCTAGCAATTTCCATCAAAGTACACCGGCGGGTCAGGTGGGAAAGCACAGAATTTTGCTAGCTCGAAAAATAGAAGCTTTAAGAGTTATTGATATTTATAAAAATGCTGCAAAAATAATCTGTAAAATATCTTGGTATTTTTTATGTCACAGTTATATAGTTATGCTGTACATAGTTATGCATAGTATGTATGTTAACTGGGATAAAACTAGCCATAAATACGACTATGGAAGTATATATATATTTCTTATTATTCAACAACTTGGGGACCAGAAGATAAAAATTTTGTCAAAAGCAAATTGCTCCCTGAAATGGGTTGTACAGAAAACTCTCGAAATACAAGGTTAACTAAAAACCGCGGTTACTCCGAGGACAGTTAAGACGATACACTTAAAAGGAATAACTTACGTTATAATTCATAAAAAACACTTTTTTTACACAGTTTTATCTGAAGCGTTAAGTTTATTTGGTTCCGTTTATAAAATCGGTTTTCATAACAAAAAGAACATATTGCAAACAACGGAAGAACAAACATCATTGGAAATAAAAGAATTAATTACTTATTAAATAATACTAATAAACTCCTTGTAATAGAGTTAAAAACGGCTAAGCCGTTTAAATAAAAAAATGCGGCCTTTTATCTAAAAGATTTAAAGAGTATGAGATTCAATTCCAGTAAAAAAATTATGCTATAATTTTTTCTATTGTACAGTGTTTATACATATCGGATTATGTACAAATGAATTGCATATTGTTGTGAGTAAAAAGAACTTCCAAACGCTACGATATTTGATAGGACTGCTGTTATCTCTTGCATTTTTTTTCCTTTTTTATTATTATTACTTTCTATGAACACTTAACTTTACATTGATAATTTATGATGGTAATTCTTCCATAGTTTCGGAACAAACTACTTTTGTTTTAATAAGCTTCGACTGATCCGCTATAATCGTCAGTTGACAATAAATACAATATGCGAATCTCTGTAAATAACGCTAAGTATATCACTAGTAAACCCATGCAAACAACAGGCAAAACAATAAAATAAACAAAAGCTTCCTTTTGAATTCGAAAAACAGGATGAAATAGATCTAGAAGACTGATTATCAGACATACGTCCATATTTTAGTTATAAATAACAGGAATTTGGAAGTAATTCGACAGTAGTTGAAAGTTGACAGTAAGGAGCATATAATTTCATGTCGATGTGTACAAAGATTCGAGAATCGGTGACTGGCTGGTTGTGGATATATTTAATTATGGCGAAGGATATCTGATGAAAGAGTAATGTCCTCATGGAGGACTTTTAAACGAAAGTGGCTTGTGTTCACATAATAAATGGAGTAAATCCTGTGCAAGTTAAGCCATTCGTCCAAAAATAGAAACCGGACGTAGAACCAGTATTTAGGAATTTTAGCTCCGTGGTAGAGCTCAAGAATCAGGGAACGGTTTGCGAATTCAGCAAATTAATTTCATTTAAAATAACGTTAAAAATATAGTAATTGCATTTTCAAATAACGTGTCAAAACTAAGCAAAACTGACTAAACAAAAGGAATAGATAACTGAATAAAATGAAAAAATTAAAGCTGAATTACCTAATAAAAATATGTCAGAATCTACATGAAAATATTGCACAACTCTTTGTCCTTTAGCAAATGCGAGAAAAATTTTAGTAGGAAGTTGGCTTAACTAATCTAAATTTTAAAATTAAGCCCTTAATTACACAATTTTCAAAATATGTATTTTAATAAGCCATGGAGATTAACGAAATTTTGGCTCAACAATGATACGTTTAATGCATCCCTCTCATTTTAAGAATGTTTACATAAAATTTGCTCCAGAATGATAGGTATCACTGCTAAGCCTAATTTTGTTTATCCGCGAGTGGTTGGTAGGTTATGTGTTACAGAATTTCTTCTAATATTTCTTAAAGAACTGGGGAACTCCTTATATACTATGTGCATTGTCTTGCGTTTTCATAATGAAATTTAATAAATTTTAGTTTAAAACCTGTTTGCGGATTCCCGACTATAAGATGACTGATCCACAAGGGTCTGTAATCTAAAGTTAATAATTAAAAGCCTATACGGAAGAAATCCGTAAAAGAATACAAAGGAAGCAGATTGTTTATAATTTGCAATTAAGAAATTTGGCACTTACGTAATGTAGCCACTACTTTGGCGCAGTGGGCGAATTTTACGGAAGGAAAAGAACAATTATTTTTATTGTAAAAAATATTATATATTATTTACATGCATATTTTATGTTTCCATTATATATTTATCCCCCAAAAAAACAGTAAACCTAGTTACAAATGGGTTTTTGTTGTGGTGGAAATTTCGTAGCTATCGCTTTAGAAAAGATTTGAACCATTATTCCTCTAGGTATATTGTGGCAAAATACGGCATTCTCTCAAAAATTTCACCTCTTTTCCTTTTATTATAGAAAATTTCACAAGCACCAATTTTAAAATCGGGTTAAAGACAAAAAAAAAAAAATAATTATTATTTTTCTATAGCCGTTGGTGCTTAAAATGGCGATGTTGAAAATTGAATTTTTATTGTGCTTATGGTCACCTGAATAACTGTTATACGCGTATTGACAAAGTTGGGCGTAATCTGAAACTTTGGCGACTTCCACTAAGTGGCTGAGCCCCTAATGTGCAAGTATCAGAAATTTATTTAGTTGTTTTCGGTAATGCATACGAAGGGAAGGGCGTTTTCATAGGACATTGATAATTTTTTTCTAAAGGACATTGGATTTAATTGAATTGTTTAAATTAGGGAAAACTAAGCAATGCTATCTGCCAAAGTTCCTACATAGTTTTGACGTATGCACTTTCCGAAGATAAAATTAGCATCTCTTGCTTCTTTTTTCTTGTCACAAACTTCTAGAGAGAACCTTCTCCTCGATTATTATAAACCTACCTCAAAACCGCAAAATTTAGACACAAACATTAATGTCTTGTTTGGTTTGGTTTATATGATTGAGGCACAGCCTCAAGGACTATCTGCCTAAAGAGAGGGATGCATTCGTGGAGGACTTTCTAAGGCAACTGACTTGTATACACGTTACACATGAGGGAAACCATGAAAACGCCTATGCAGCCAGCCCGTTCACGCGATTCGAGCCTCGGACCGAACTGCCAGTGTTCAGCGGTTTTACCGCTCGACCGCTGGAGGGCAATGCCTTACTTTGATTGGAATCCTGACCCAACGGCACAGAAATCCATCACTCTGCGCAAACTACCATTACACTCAGAGTCATCATGCCATCCGCCCTAAGGTAAAGTGACTATCACTCACGCTACACATAGCGAAAACCATGAAAACTCCCACTCCCTTTCGCTGGAATTTTGAACTCAGGTTAAACTACTGGTGTTCAGCGATCTTATCATTAAGCCATTAATATTCCCAGCCAAATTGCTTATATAGCCAGCCTATTCTATAGTAATTAATTGAATGTAAAACGCAATTACAAGTATTCTTGCACTTTACTCATTAAGCCACTGGTGGGCCAGAAAGGAATATTTTTATGGAATAAAATTTATTACCCTAACGATCTCTTATTAAGGCAAGACTTTAAAGATGTGTTTTCAAAATCTAAAACAGTTTATAGACTTTCCATAGTGTACAAGAATGTATACTAATATCAACTGAACTGCTAAAAATAAACCTTCAGTATTTTGAAGTCTTCCTTTTTGAAAAATGCATTAACTTTGCATGGTTTTCGATATAAAATAATTTATCAAGTGCTAAACTTTTTTCTAGCATCTAGAATACGGAAACTTGGATTATGCGTGTATTTTATCGCCGCATTTTCTAAAGTCATATATGTGGTTCTTTCTTGATATCTTCCATGAGCACAAATTTTGTTTCCCTTGTTTGCCTAAATTATAAAAGAAAGACGCCAGCGCTATGAATTGGATTGAATTTGATAAAAGCAGACTAGAGCTGTCTATCTGATGGAAAGGATGCTTTCATGGAGGACCTTTTAAGGATAACTGTCTTTTATTCACATTTATTCCCCATTACACATGGGGAAATGCCTCTTAAGCCACCCCCGTTCACAAAGATTTCCATCTGGGTCGAGCTACTAGGTTTATTAGCTTTATTACCTCCCCCCGGCGGTTGGTAAACCTTAAGATTATCAAAGGCATCTGGAATGGGAAAACTAATTATACGGCAAGTATTTATCCTCAAACTATTTGAATTCAACATTGCTCGAGTTTTTTTATGTCCTTTTATACATATTTTATCCTGTTTGTTTCCCTGATTGAGGCTTTGTCTCGAAGAAGCCTTACGTAGCATCAAATTGGGAGTAACTATGCAGTTTTTACCACTTTTAGAAATACAACTTCTTCCGTAAGGGCGCTTCAGTGACATTTTCGTAATCTGTGTTGTTGAATGATAATAGATGAGATTTTACATTAGGGTCTTTAGACACTCGTTATTTATTAATTCTTGTTTGTAATTTAGGTGTTTAGTTTCTAAGCAATGCAACAGTAAAGGAGGTTTTAACTATTTGGAATCAGACTTTCTCTTACCAGATTACTAACTTCATCTAACTGGCTCCTTTGTAATGCCTGGCGCAAGCATCAAATCGGAGCCAATCTGTAGTAGTTTTAGTTCTGTGAGAAAATCTATTTTTTAACTTCTTATCCATTTTTATTTAGTTAAACCTTACATTCTATAAATTCAAAATTATAAAAACTAGTATAAAACAAAACTCTAAATTCAAATTTGATTATAATATAACTATAAAGAATGTTACATAATTCATTTGACTATTCACTCAATGTTAAAAATATTGGCTGCCGATCAGTTAAGACTCGCGATCGATTGAAAAGCGGGAAAGGAGTGGCTGTGAATAAGAAATGGAGCAATAGAAATATGTAGATAGTGCTTGTTATAATTAATTACATTGCTTTATTACACATTTTAGTAAGTATATTTAGTAAGTATATTTATTACACATTTTAGTATGACGCGATTCAATTCCTCGCAATTATTTCCCTTTATATTCAGTGACAAATTTAAACTTTCTGATCATTTCGTTCTTTTCTCAGTACTTATTGTAAAACTTTATTTTCAGCTATTACTGTTAATTTTCTTTTTTTTTTTTTACTGTAATAATTTGTGTTCCGCCATTTTCACCCACAGAAGCACGCTTACCGTAAGTTGCGAACCATTGCTCTGAATAATAAAATAAATACTTTAAGCTTCAATTTCCAAATGGGTATTTCTTTCTGTAACTTTTAAACTCTTTATAATGGTAGATTTCATTAAAACATGATTTACATTTTATTGCGCTAAGAATCCGAAGAATCCGATATTACAATATTTGGCCCAAAACAAAATTCTTCCAGCGCAAAACCGATAATTATAAATTGATAATCCAGATGTACGATACATATTCATTTAATGTATTGCAGTCATTTACATCAAAATATAAATTCTTTTGGTAGCTAACTTTGCTCCATGCGAATTCATAAGCAAACCTTAAAAAAACAAGGAGAAATTAACTTATTCTTCTTATACGGAACAGATGGACAGAAAGAATCAGCATTACACGAATCGCGTTTATTCAACTTCATATAACCTAGGTAAAAAGATCATTTTAACGATATCATTACAGGCGATAGTAGGAAATCGTGTAATATGTCAGCACTTTCAAGTATAAAATTAAATGTTGCAATACATGCTAAAAAAACACGTGAAAGTTCAATTTCTCATAATACAAATACGTATTTATACAAATTTTTAATTTAAAATTTTATCACCAAGATAATGCTTTAGAATAAGGAAATAGTAAAAATAATTTCAAAACCATATCTTCGAATCAGTAAACCTTAAATTTCGAAAGTTATTTTCGCTTTGTATTTAAAAAAGCATTTCCAAACATACTTCGTTAACTACTTTACTATAACATACTAATTATTTTATTCGAATTTTTATTTATTTATTTATTTATTTATTTTACCTATAAGCCTGAACTATTTCCACGTCCTAATCTGCGACGCCGATTTCTTTCAAATATGCATTTTGCCGAATTCGTTTTAATCTAAATATCTAAACACGAATAAAAATATTAAAATAGTATCTAAATATAAAGAAAAAATAATACCTACGTAATATTTAAACAACAAGGATTTTTTTTTTCTTTTAACCCAAAATATTTTTCTCCGGAAAATTATCTTAACGATTATTTTCGGATAAAAATATTTCCTGTGAGAAATTTTTCTTAGGAACTTCCGTGATATTCATTCGTCTCTTTAACCAATACAAAACCAAAAAAGGGTCTAAAATATTTTATAAAAAGTTAATGAAAATTAACATTAATTTACCTCTGCTGAAATATTTTTGTTGTAATAGAATTTTTTCGTGTTCTCCATTCAGTTCCAAAGGCTCTCCATTCAGTTCAGTATCTTGGGCTAAACAGAAGAGGCGATACGTCAAACGTTTCCAACAATTTAACTGTTCTACTCTTGTTGCCATATCTCAGCATAATTCATTGGGAGAAAACAAACCACCAAATTTATTTAATTAAACTTAAGGAGATAATTTTTCCTCTTTCTGACTTATTTTACCCTCATATAATTTGGAAGGCTCGAACATCAAATATTATATATTTTCATTATCATTTATTTTTCTCTTTCCATTAGCATTTAGTTAATCCTTTTCGGAACACTCAAAATTTTAAGGGTATGCTGTGAACATAAAAAAGAAATTTGGGTGAAATTGAGAACTCTTTCCTTTCTATGGAAAAAAAAACATATTACCAGAAATTATTTCTATTTAAGACAATTATATGTGTTGACAGCAAATACATTTAATATACTTTTCCTTTTTTTCTTTTAAAGTAGTTGAGTTAAAAAGCTTTAACTTTTAAATAAAAGAGCCATTGGCAATTAAATACGAAAAAAAATTGTTTCAGCAAATAAGTGTGAAAATAAAAAAATACTATCAACTAATAATTAAAAACAATTTACTAAAAAATAATGCTTGAATAATGTTTTATTTGCAAAATTTAAATTAAAGAATTTTATCCCAGGGTTGTAGATTTCATAAATTTCGAATTTAGCATTCCGGTGGCATAAAACTCATGAAAACTATCCAGATGTGGTTATTTTTCGAAGCTTCAGAAACAATGTCTCACAAAAATGATCGGCCACTCTAATTTTTTTTAAATAATAGAAGAAAAACTTTGAAATTATAAAGACTATTTTCCCTTTGAATACATATTTTCTCAGCTCTCTCTTTATACTAAATAAATTTGAAAAAATAAAATAATAAATTTAAAATACAACGTTTTAGTCTAAAATCGAAAAACAAACCAAAAAAAAAAAAAAAAAAGAAAGAAAAAAAAAGAAACTACATAATAATTATTCGGACATTTTCATAATTTTTAATTAAAATCATCTGCAATAAATAAAAAACGAAATTTTATGGAATTAATTTGAATAAAGAAGCTAGGCAAAAATCTAAAAATCCTTTGCTTTAAAACTCAAATTTTCTTTTTAGAAAATATTTGTTATTTTAATGTTTTTTTTGCAGTGGCTCGGTCACGAAAGGAAACATCGTTAGAAAAAAAAAAAAAAAAAAGACCTGGAAGACCATTTAAGTTAATCTGATGGAAGGAAACCCTTCATGCAAAATTGCAAAATATCATGGGTGAGTAGCAAGAAAAAAATTTTATGTCAGTAAAAAAAAAAAAAAAACGAAAACTTCGACTTGATTTCCAAAAATCGATGAAACAAAAGACACCCACCTACTGGAAAAAAGTGTTGTTTGCTGATGAAACAAATTTAACATCTTTTCAGCTCAGATGGACGAGTGCTGGTGTGGAGAAAACCCAAAGAAGAATTTCAGAAGCAGAACTTAGTACCAAATGTTAAACACTGCGGAGGAGGAGTTATGGTATGGAGATCTATAGCACATTCTATATTGGTAATATAGAGTTTAGAGATCGTATTATGGATCAGTATATAAGTACCTTGACATATTGAAGGGAAATTTGGCATCATCAGCACAAATTCTTAATATACAAAATAGTTTTAAATTCTATCAGGACAATGATTCAAGGCATACTACGCACAATGTTAGACTCTGGCTGTTATATAGTATGTGTCCAGAAGTAATTAAGACATCGCCCCAATTGCCAGATTTTAATATTGTTGAACATATTTAGCAGGAACTAGAATCGAGAATTCGTAAACAGAGTATATCTTCGCGGCAGCAACTGAAAAATATGATTTAAGAGGAGTCGCATAGAAATAAATCCAAAAATTACAGAAAAAAAAAAAAAATTGTGAGAATATTTTCCTCATTAAGTAAAATGTATACATTGATTTTTGAATCAAGTTTTCGTCTTTTAAAAAATGTATTTATTAAAAAAAATTTTGAATTTACATATAATCAAAATAAAAGCTTTTCTTTTTTTTTTTTTTTTTTTTTTTTTTTTTTTTTTTTTGGTGTTGCGTGGCCCCAACTTGCCCGCAACAGGAGTAGTGACTGCTATGAACTGGAAATTACACAAACTCTTAAGAAGGGTTTAACTCCCTTTTTATTCCACTTTAGAAGTTACAGATGCGTTCACTTGACGCTCACAAACTACGCCGACCCAGCGGTTAAATAAAAAGAGAAAAGTACAACTAAAAATAAATAACAGGATGAATAAATAACAAGTCACTACCTACAAGGCTCTACAATTGCAACTATCTTAACCGCGTTCTAAGATACAGCTGAGATTCAGCAAACTTACGGATTGAGAAGTTGAAAGTTTCAACTAACTGCCGGAGTAGGCACACAGGCCGAAACGCGCGGTTTCTTAAATTTCTACCTAGCAACCTTCACGCTCGTGAATCAAGAAAGCACACCTACAAACTCGTTTCCCTTCTATTTAACTCAAAAATACTTCTGCTAAAAATTTGAATACTCTGCGCGTTCTACTACAATTTACATTGGACATACTAAACTAAAGGGACGCATTGGCAAAAAATTCTAAAGGGGAAAGTAAAGGCTTGACAGGAAAGATAGCTTAAATAAAATGTTAGTTAAAATAAATATAAACCCTACATTTGCCACTGCCAGAATTTGGTAAACTTGGAAGCAGGTCCTAGAAACGACCTGTTGAAAAAGTTTCCATATTTTGAACTAAAACTGAAGAGCCTCGTTTACAGAAAACAAACTGTTTTCTCAAAAATTAGAATAAATTTCTGTAGATACATAATTTTACCATCTCTTCTTACAGGAACCTTTTCCTGGTCTTCAGCAATCAGTCTTTTCTCTTCCTTCCAGCATCTGGAAGGAATAAGTATCAGTATCTTCTAACTACATTATGATTTACACTTACGATAAAGTTTCGTTTTTGATCGTTTTATTTTCCTTAATTAACTGCTTAATTCACATTCATTCAAGTATTCAAACATGAAATTAACTTTACTCTGGTTCTCCACCATGTGTGGTGACAAACGAGAATATTCGTGTTTTAGTATTACAACACTTCCCCTAACCACAATGATTTGTTAGAATTCCAACAACCAAATAGACACACCCTTAATCGACATACTGAAACTCGATGAGCTATGTTTAACATTCTTAAAATTCAAGTGTAGGTGGAGAACCCTACAAAACCACATTCATTCTAATTCCCCCTCATTCATCTTTAGACATGCAGGCTTTCGCTCTAAAGCATGATTTTATCTGCAGTTTAATACTTAAATTTGAATTCATTTCTTTCGAGTATTTACTTTTAGCATCTAAAATTTTATGCTTCTAGAATAAATTCTACTTTTACATAACTTTCAAGTATTTACGTATATTTACAAGATTTTAATACATATGATTTTTACAATTTACCATAAAATGAATAAGATAAAAATAAAGTTTTACTTCACGCATTCTTCGCCAAGCTGACGGCACTGAAACTAAATTTTTCATTAATACAAGAATACGAAGTTACTTTACTTTCGGCCAAATTTTGGCTTTAACGTAACAGAATTAGTCTTTCGACCAACAGGAACTGCTTGCTCTTAGATTTTATACTTAAAGAAAATAATACTTTTGCCTTAGCTAAATAAAGTAAAACAAACTAAGTCTCAACCGAGACAAATTGACTTCCGTCAAAGCAACTTCGTATTTACGCATAGCATTTCGGAACAAAAGAAAAAATTATAGAAGATTTTAACTTATCTTTGAGTTTTCGATGATTGGAACTCCGACATCCTCTTCTGACAGAACTGATCCCACGTTTTGGAATACATAGAGGTCAGTCGTCGCCTTTGGGTTCTTCGAGTTTCGTCCATGGTGATTTTTCCTTTTTGCCCTCTGTACGCCGGCCTCTTGGAGTGGTAGTCTTCGGGTTCCTGTCTTTTCCGTTTTGCTCCTGGGCGGCTGGTCTTGGCGGCCTCCGGTCTGGAATCGTGCTTGAATTTCTTCTGTTGGTGGTAGTCTTTTCGTTCCTCCTTCTGTCTTTTTGTTCTCATGAACGGCGGCCTTGTTTGCTCCTGACTATCTGGCCCTGGAAGTGGCTTCCTCGACGCAGAATTTCTACTGCGGGACGTTGTAACTGGTCTTTTCCTCTTTACCAAAGATTCTTTCACGCGGCGGCGTTGATTTCTTGTATTTCTTAAATGCTGGAGTCTGAACATTTTCCTTTCTTCTTTTCGGGACCGTAGCATGACTTGTAGAAGGGCTAGGTTCTCTTCTGTTCTCTGCTTCTTGGGTGGTGGCAGCGGGTGGCGTTACTTCTGGGCCTTCCACTTCTTTTGCGTTTGAGTCCTGCAAGAAACTTTTAAGGATTTCAAAATTATTTTGATTATAATATTTTTTCACCTGGTCGGGACTTGCTTTACAGATTTCCCCTCTCTCGTTCTTAAGGTACAATACGACTCCCTTGATTTCCTGAATTACATAGGGGCCTTCAAATTTTGGAGCTAACTTTGTGTGGCGCACTTGATAAAATTGTCTGGGGCACTTGATAAAGAAAATTTCCATTTTAACACTTTATCCCCAACTTTAAAATCTGCTTCACGGCGTTTTCGATCATAATACAATTTCTGTCTATTTCTTGCCGTATCCGAACTTTTAACCGCCTGGTCAATGAGTTTCTTGTACATCTTTTTGTTTGAATTCTTGCTCTCTTTGTTGCACAAAGAATAATTTTATCTAAGTGGCGTAATTAACTTTCCGTCCTAAAAATAATTCTGCTGGAGTTTTTTTTTCCCGTAGTATCATGATTTGCCGTTCTTAAAGCATAAGCTAACTCATTTATGTAGCCATCCCAGCGCTTGTGATGTGTGCTAACGTAACGTCGAATTATTTTTACAATATTTTTATTAACTCTTTCTGCGATGTTTGCCTGTGGTCTATACGGAACCATTTTGATATGGCGTATGCCAAGTCCAGTGCAAATGTTTTCAAATATGTGACTAATGAATTGTTTACCGTTATCGCTAATGACTTT